ATGTTCAGCCTTCTCTCCAGTAAGAAGACATTTACTCTCATTTCTGTGGGAAGGTAAATCCTCCAATTTCAACCAAAGGATAAGATGGAGTAATGTGATCTTATTTACATTTTGTAAAGATCATTCTGGTCCCTATGAGGACAAAAGGAATTTGCCTTATCCATTGGGGTATTCTACCCCAAGGGTAGGTTCCTGTACTGGTTTTGGCTGTTGAAATCCATGCCATTGTAATCAGTTAACATCAGGTTGGTCTTAATATATCAGATCAATGTAGAGACATGTCCTAAAGAGACTTTTGTATATATTGCCTTATAGAAATGTATTTTCCAGAAGGGCCTTAAGCTCATTGGGAGGTCAGGTTGTTAGATTCTAGCTCCCACTTTTATCTCCTGTGTATACAAGTCTCTCCCTTTTTCCTTCCACCTTCTCTTCTTTAGGCCAGTTAAACTTACTTTCTGTTTTCATGGGGAAATGATTTTTATAGTAGTGTGATAGGTTTTTAATTATTGCTTATTTACAGCTAAATGAAATTTTAACATTGGTGGGAAGATGAAGGGTTTCAGGATCTTCCAAAAGTTTAAATCTCAGTGAGTATAACTGAAACATGAAATACAGGAGGGAAGAGTGGGGGAAAGTCTGGAGATTTAATTGTCAGTTTCTACTTTGACAACTTTTCACTTCAACACCCTTCACTGACAAGGTTGCCGTTTCTCAATGACCCTACTTCCCTTGCACTCTGTGCAAACTGCTCCTGCTTGGAGCAATTTCAAGGTTTCCTTCTCTGTGTGTATCTATCCTTCTGTTTCCTGTTTCTTTTTCCCTCAGCTTTTGGTGTTAAAAAATTCACTTAAGGGCTGGCTGAGTGGCACGTTGGTTAAGAACTGGCTTGGGATGCCAGAGGGTCGGTCCTGTTTCAGATCCCTCATATGAGGTCCACTGACACTGCACTCTACAGCTAAGATGCTGAACAAACAGCTCAACCTGGAGCTGGGCAGCCTTGTGTGGCCAGCAGCCTGTGTGAGCGGCCAGCAGTTGCCGTGAGCGGATGTCCAGAGGCCGGCGACTGATCTGCCTCACCCGGGAAGAGCACAATGATGGTGCCAGCTTGGGCCAGTGAAGCAACATCCTCCACAACTAGACTGAAGAACAAACCAACAGCAACTTGTCTGTTCCCCTTCCCCGATTCCCCAGCCCTGTTCCCCTCCCCCAATTCCCCAATAAAGTCTTTAAAAAAAAAATTCACTTAAGTTTTGCTGTTTTTACAGGTCAATGTGACAATTCTGAAAGTGCATTTGACTCTTGATCGTGGTGGAAAATTTTAAAGTGAGACCTGCTGATTAGTTAGCACACTGAATGAGAAGTGAATGTGCCGTTCAGCTTTTTTTCGGTTGGGTTTTCTTCTTGGATATTGCCTCTTGGTTGAAAATCCTTCATCACTCCGCTGCTCCTTAGTTTGCTCAAACTTGGTTGTTATTTAAAAATCAGTTAGAATAAAACTCATTACAGATTGGATTTCAACCTTTTTTTTTCTTCTTTTCCAGTTTACCTCTCTTGTCTCTCCCCCCACCCCCACCTCTTCCTCACATTTCTCTTCCTGTTTGTTCTTCCCTAATTACATCTTAAATGACACATACTTGCTTCCTCCTCAGGTGGACAACTACACAGTATATTTGGCTCTAAGGCACCACCAACATTCAACAAAATACCCATTTACTAGTTATTAAGCTCAACTTTGGACCAGGTCCTAAGTATTCACAAATGTATGGGCCACAGTTCCCATTTCTAGGGATCTTGTATGAAAATGGATGATGGAGATAAGTAAGTGCAAAATTATAATACAGTGTGGCAAGTGGCTGTAGTGCATAAAGGGCACTTGACATGGTCCTGAACAAAAATAGGAGCAATTCTAATATATACCCTGACCAATGAATAGAAGTTAACATTTTGAAGAATAGATGGGGGATGGCATGGGTGGCCCATAAGCTTAAGGTGACATGGAGGTGAGATTTAACTGGAAGACATTGAGGAAATTTGGTAGAGAAATTTAGAGAAAATATCCACTATGAGAGAGTGTGTGTGTATGTATGTATGTATGTATGTGTATGTGGTGTGTGTGTGTGTGTGCAGAGGGAGAGAGATGGGGAGAAATGGCATAAAATAAGGTTAGAGACATTGTTTTCTGAATATAGAGGAGAATCATCTGAAGGTTTTAATCACAAGAAGGTTATCTCAAGATCATAGTTACATATCATGGCTACAGTATAGGAAGTGCATTACATTCAGTCAACAGTATTATCGGGCATTAAGTACTAAATGCTGCAAATATAGTTGTGACAAAGGCAGACACAGACCCTGACTTTCATTACAGAGGGCAGTAATTTGGGTGGTCTGAACTGCAGCATTGAAGTAGGGATGGAAATAAGTTTCTACATGTAGGAGCTATTTAGGAAGTAGTATTAACAGATGTTGGTAATTGACTGGTCACAGAGGGTGGTGGCACGAGAGGGAGGAGGCAGGAGTTTTTAGAGACTTCCAAATGTTGCCCTCCATTTTGCTTCCTTTTTTAGCTTGACTGCCCAGTAGCTTTATGGGTGTTTCCAATTCCATATGTCTACTTATCAGCTGTCAGTTTTGTCATCCCATTTGGTGGGTGCAGAATGGGATGGAAAATACAATGGGTCATTGACCTTGCAGTAGAGGCCATTTGCTATGGGAAAGCTATTATCAAGAATTATGCTAAGCAGCTCTTAGTGTCAGATGAGTTTTGCTAAACAGTTCACTCTTTTAGCTGCAGTACAGTAATGTTGCAGGGTTTGGGTGTAAGCGGGGAGGAAGGATGACTGAAAATATGTGAGAAAAAGTAGGATCTCATAACAAAGCTAGTAGCGAGGGTGCGGAGAGGAAGCAGGCAACAGAATGGAAGCTCTGAAATGGGCATTTGGTCTACTGAGAGGGACTGCTAACCCCAGACGATGCCTCTAAGATGCTAGAGGGGACTCCAACATCCTGTGTTACTCTGTGGATAAAGGTTTCTGGAAAATGCTGCAGACTCAAATATGCCTTCCGTTAAAAAAAATCTGGTTAAATATGTTGAACCCAAAATTTTACAAATATATTAGCCCCCTATGTTTTTCACTAACACCGTATTAACATTCTGTGGAGCTGATGCCTCACAGGACACAGCTAGGAAAACGCTGGTCTAACCAAGTAATGAGTGTAGTAGGGTTAGCCTTTATTGAGCATTTATTATCTTCTAGTGTTAAATGCATTACATTGATTACCTTATTTAGTCTTCACACCAACAACATTATGACGTGGATATTATTATCATCCTCATTTTAATGACAACAAAAGTACCTCAAATTATAAAGTAATTTTTCCAAAGTAATATAGCAGTAGCCCAAGGTCCACGGAGGACTTGCAGCTGTTGGTGCCTCTGAAACACCCTTCAGTCACCTCGTGAATGGGACTGTCCTCTCATGTACTCAAGGACTGAACACCACATGCACATGACCAAACACTCTGTAATCTCAGAGTCATTGATTCCTCATATTTGCCAATCAGGCATTTCATATGTGTTATTCTGTATCACAGAAGAAACTGAAGTAGGAAGGAGACCCAGAAACCCACACAATCAGAAGCCAGTTGAGCCTGGACTCAAATCCAGTCAGACTCAGAGCGAGTCCATGTTCTTAATCATACAATGTTGCCTTCTCAACATCTGAATTCATATGCACAACTTCCCTAGGCCAAGAAATGTTAGCATATATCTATATTAAATATGCATAATGTTTATTTCTTCATGCATTTATCAGTATGAAAGACTCCTTGGCTACCACTGAATCATAGTTTTGGAGATGAAGTATATTGGAAACAAAGGTGTGAAGAAAAAGGTAATTTAGAGAATTCAGGACAGGTCAGGAAGTGACCTCATGAACTTGTGGTAGAACCAAGGCCAGCATCTGTACGTCAAACAAGAATGGAATAAAGGATCTGAATCTGAGAAGGAACTGAGTGACTGACATTTATTTTCTCTCTCTCACAAATAAATGCAGAATGATTATATTTTGTATCAGTTTTGCTTACCCCTTAGCAATGTAGTACTTAATGAAGGGATTTTCAGATTAGACAATTCTGGGTTTGCATATTTATTCCAACATTAAATGTCACCTCAGGTAAATTTCCAAATTTCATCATCTATGAAGTGGGAATAGATATACCAACACCCCAAATTTGTTCCAAAGAACAACTGAAATAATGTTCTATAAAGTACGAGAGAAAGTAGGTTCTGGGCTTTTATTATAGGTGCCTGTTGTTTCATTATAACGTTTCTTTGCTTTCCTGAGTTTTGTGGGCTCAACTTGAAAATGTTATTTTGGTGTTTTTCTATCTGCTTTTCTATTTTTCTCCTACTTCTGATAAGTACAGCACAGTGGAGTCCAACAGTATTAAAACACCTGCATATCTCTAGTAGTAGTGATGTACAATAAGACAGCTGTCCTACCAGGTGATTTCTTTTAAAGCACATTAGGAATAAGAGATTTGAGGTGACTTTATTCTTTGCAGGAATTCATCTAACTCATTTTATCTAAACTGCTTACCCTGACTATTTGACTTGGCATTGAAGAAGGAATCTTTAGAAACTAAGTAAAATAAGTCACTATTTAAAGATTATTCAGACAACTGTGCCTTGGATTTTGTGAATAAGTTAAATTTATGTTTATATGGAGAGAAAAATGGTAATATTTCCCAATTGATTTAGGCTATTGTTAAGTGAATGAAGACTGACCGAGGCAGAACCACTCTTATCTCTTGCATCACATCATTTTATTCTTTCTCTTCATAGTTTATAGACAGTGAACAGCATTTTAAATACAACAAATGCAGTTTTGGGGGAGTTTAATGTGTTAAGGTATCATGAAAAGCTTTAAATGTATCATGATTATAATGGAAAGGCAATCGTTTCACATACTTAAGATTTTTATTATTTTTATTTGCAGGATGAGTAAGAGATACTTACAGAAAGCAACAAAAGGAAAACTGCTAATAATAATATTTATTGTAACCTTGTGGGGGAAAGTTGTATCCAGTGCAAACCATCATAAAGGTAAGATCTTCTGTTTTCTTTCTCAGCTCCCTGTAGGAGGTGACACCCTTTAGCACAGACTACTGTGTTCCATCTTCACTGGTCTGTTAATTTTTCTTGATGTGGGTCCCCCCTGGCAATTCTCTTTAAGTAAAAATACAGAGATAGTTATCTTTAACATGGGTTTGATAGGGGAAGTATGATTATCTAAATGTTTCCAGGATAACTGCCAGTTCTGAAAATAGTGTTTAGAGAGTACGGAGTTGTGTCTCTGACTTTCCCCTGTCATATATATCTTTAAGATAATGATGTTAAAATGTTGGGTTGACATGTAATAAAGATGAGTTTCAGATTGCAGTCATTCTTGTATTGAAAGCATCTTTAATGATATATATCTTAATAATATGTATATATGTAAATTTCCCTTCAGTGCTTTTTGTGAACCATGTTTCTTCATGCCAAAGCGCCTTTTTGACCACCATTTGGACTCTGCATATAGTATGAGAATATTTGTTTTATACACGTGTTAAGCTTGACACTCAAAATTATGTCCTTTTTCTTTTTCCTGAGCATAAGACTCAGTATAATGAATAACTACCTTTTCCAAATGAATTAAAATTGGGCTTTTTCTGAACTGTTCCTACCATAATCAACTATGCATAACCTGAGAAGTCAATTTAGATTTTTCTGTGAAATATGATTTTACAGTTGACTTCTCAGTCCTCTGCAAATTCTAGGGGTTAGCAACTTACTTTCTCATTTTATTTTGGGGTGAAGAGGGGGTTAAGACTGCCTTCAATTCTGTAACACTTAAATTAGTTACACATGTGCATTGAATTAGCGCTATATGGAACATTAACACCAGGGAAAGCAGAGATGTGGTGTGAGGAGTGATGCCTGTCAGACAGAAATCTTCCCCCCTGCCCCCCACATGTGTTTAAACCAAAAAGTCATGTTTTGAAATATGAATTTTATGAGTATATTTCATAATCCTATGTTTTACCCCATTGTGTGATGTATCTATCTATATCTATATCTATATCTATATCTAATCTATCATCTATATCTATATCATCTATCTATATCTAATCTGTGTCATCTATATCTGGGAGTACCAAAAGATGTATACATTTTAAGAGATGTTATCTATGTATTACTTTTTGAAGTTGAATTGAATTACCATAGCAATGTGTAGTATGAGGTTTGTTCAAAAGATGGCATTAATCAAATGAATGCTAGCATCATTTATTGTATTACAATTTTAATATAGTTTTTTTCCTTTCTTAAAATGTGTATACATTTTTTGGCACCCTCTGTATGTAGTCAAGTTCACTTCTTTAATACAGCATAGTGATCCACAAATCAAACTTTAAATTCTTTAATAATTGTGAAATTATTAGTGTGAAATTAAAAAAGGTGTTGAGCAGAATGTTATTCCCTGTGCGTCCAAAGTGGCAACAATGAACCAAACTTAAGGACAAAAGAGTGTTAAATACTCACCTTTTAAAAACAGTTGCAGACCACTGACTGGGGCCAGGCCCCCTGCCTTGGGCTTAACAAGAGAAGAAACATCATCTGTACTATCCAGATGGATAATGACCGCGGTGCCCCTATCCAGCTTATAAAACAGAGTTGAGAGAAGTGTGTGTGGTGGAGGGGGATGCATAGTAACTGTGGGTGTCAGCCTGGCAAAGCCAGGGTTCATGATGAAGATGCTTTTTCATCTCCAAAGCCAAGTGAGGGGGTCCTTAAAAGAATGACTCACAAAGACTTCCCCACAGTAAATTCTGCATACAATTTTTAAAGTTACTTTTAAGAATTTAAGTTGTGGTATGATCTATGCTACCTCCGAAACTAAGATCTTTTTTAATTTTTGCCAAGAAAATACTTGTTGAACATAGCAGATTATGCGTTGTCTCAGATAGCCTTCTTAACATGCCAAACCCAGTACATTACAGAAGAGAGAGTTTTGTGATATTTTGGTTTCCACTAATGTTTTGGACAAAGATTTCTTCACACCTCCCCATTTCCCTTCTTACCCTCTTCTTTTCTTGTTTTTTTTTTTTCCTTTACACTTTCCATGCAAAATGCACCTTTTGTCTCAATTGTACATTTAGGATAAGTGTAATGTATATGTCCGTTGTAGGGCATGTTCATACCAGTGTGCTCACTGCCTAACTGAGAAATGCAACACTTCTAATACTCTTATAACAGGCTGTGATTTCATTTGTTTGCTTCCTTCCCCAAGATACTCACAAATCTAAATTTTCTGAATATAATTCCCTTACTCTTATTTATAATTTCCCCGCATCCACATATTGTATATCTCCAAATGACATATTGCTTAATTTTGGTTGTTATTGAATTTACATAACAGTATTATATTTCATTTTTCTGTTTTGCCCAGGGATGTATTTGTGACATTCATTATAGTTGATGGTATGTAGCTGTAAGTTTGTTCATTTTTGTTACTGTTGTGCCATATTTTATTATATGAAGTCACCATGACTTACGTATTTATTCTTTTGTACATGAACATTTGGTGTTCTATTTTTTTGTTGTTGTTATTATGAACAATGCTGCTGTGAACATTCCTGTACTTTTCTCCCAGTGCAGCATTTGCCAGGGTTTCTAGGGAGTGCACTCTGAGGAGCACATTGCTGGACCCAGGCCCTGCAGATAGATCTTCAGTCTTACCAGACGAGGCCTGATGGTTTTCCAAAGTGGTCATGCTAATAAAGTTGTTCACTGTACTTACTATCATTGTCATCTGCTGCATCTGCAGTTAAATCTCCCCTGTGAAGAGGGCTCATTTCTGTCACATCTCTTCTCCTGATTAGTCTTGCCAGAGTTGGTCAATTTTATTTGTTTGCAAAGGACCAACTTTTGCCTCTGTTGATCCACTCATTTGTATGGTCTCGTTTCTCATTACTTTCTGCTCTTACCTTTATGGTTTTGTTAATTTTATTATTATTTACATGACAAATACTTCAGCTCTACTTAGTATATGTGAGGCACTTGTGGGAAAGGGAAACTTCCCTGGATTTCTCACTGCTCCTGTAGAAAGCGTCAGTTTCCTGAGACTTTACACTTTCTCTGAGGATTAGGTCTATAGTCATTTATGTAATTAATTGTTTTGATTGAAAAGGACAGTAAAAGTCCTCTTATCTCCCCAAGAAGATTAATTGGTTACAGCTTGGATTAGGTCTCTAGGGGAAGCTCTCAAGGTACCAGAAATATTGGGGCACTGACTACCTCGGTATGAAACTCAGACCTTGGAGACACCTGGGGTTTATTTGGCCTTTGGAAAGATGTGTTTTACATTCCAAAATGTTAGACTGAGACCCTAAGATTCTTTCCAGCCCATCTCAAAGGAACAAAATGTTTTTTTCTCCTTTTAGGAGGGGCAATCACTATCTCTCTCCTGTATGTAAGTGGAAAAAACCATGGTTTTCTGTCACTCCCTAAAATGTGTTCAGTTAGTTATGTAGGACATTACACTTGGCTTTCATCATGGGTGAGGCTTAGGGCAATGGAGGTCATTCACTTCTTTTTTGTTGTGAGATAGTTAATAAGAAATCTATCTCTGATCCAGAGCACCTTGTGTGAGCATTCAAGGTAAAAGTAATAAAGATAAATATTAAATAGCTCTATTCTAAGAGTTTTACAAGTATCATCTCATTTAATCCTCATAACAACCTATAAAGTAGGTATCATTATTAAACCTATTTTAAAGATCAGAAACAGTGGCAAAGAAAAGTTAAATAATTTGTTGCAGGTTGACTAGCTAGAAACTGACTGTCTGAGATAGGATTCAAACCTAAGCAGTTTTGCTCCATATAAAATCATAGGGATCTATTGGGTTGTCGGAAAAGTCGTAACACATCTTTGCAATGAAAAACATAGAAAAAATACGTCATAACTTTTCCAACAACCCAATAGTAGTGAATTTCTTTTCATTTGTACTCGTTGGGATTTAGTTGACTTCCTGTTTCTATGGAGTGTTGTCTCTCATGAACTTTGAAAAAAATTCAGGCATTATCTCTTGAAATGTTGCTTCTACCCCATTGTCTTTATTAAAGTAGGACTCTGGTTAGGTGTATGTCAGTTTTCTCTCTTTATTCTCCGTGTATTCCAGCCTTTATATTTTTCACCTTCAAGTCTCTGTGCTTTATTCTGGGATATTTATTCAGATCTTCTTTCTACCCCACTAATTCCTTGTTCTCTTGGTTGTAATCTGCTCTTTAATCTATACATTGAATTTTAATTTCTTCTATCATATGCTACTAGAAATTCTTTTTTCTTGCAAGTTGACTTGGCTTTTGATATATTTTGGGTTCATGTTTTCATTTCCTGTCTTTATACATTAAGATATATCAAATTATATACATTATTATATATAAAATTAGAGTTGATGATTCTGTTTGATGATATTTTGTGTTTTCTTCCTGGTGACTCTTACTTATTATACTTTATTTATCTTAGGGTTTTGTGATTTTTAAAATTTTTGTGAGCTAATGTTCACTGGAATCATATTTGTGAGAATTCTAAAGTTTATGCTTAGTCATCTCCCAGTGATGATTTGCATGTGCCATATGTCTCAAGTAAAATTCTCTATAATTAGAGTCAAATCAGGAATTCTCATTTATTTATTGAAAGAGTACTTTCCAGAGAAGGAGAGCAAGGGCAGCAGGCAGAGCAGGAGATAAAAGCTAAGCACCAATAGTCTCAGCTGGAGAACAGCCGGGTCAGGTCTTGGGGAGGCTGAAACATAAAATGCGCTACAGAGTTGGTCCCTTTTGGAGGCGAGATAGACAGCCTCTTCTACTCTTGTGTCCATTGGTCATTGGCTGTTGATCTATCACCCATGGTAGGGGGAGCCTTTCTGGGGAAGCAGCTCCTCTTTAGCAGAAGAGTCTCCCAACCAGGGCGGGGCTGGCCATTATAATCCGCTACCATTCACAGCAAGTGGAGGAAAGGTGCACAACTGATCGAAAGGACCTTGGTAACTTACCAGGAGT